TAAAACAAGCAACAGCTTCATTGGATAGAGAACCCAACACTATGGAAGAAGCTCTTTCAGGCCTCAATGCAGAAGAATGGAAAAATGCCATGAATAATGAATATGAGTCGCTCCTGAAAAACAATACACTACCAGAAGGTAAAAGAGCCATACCATGTAAATGGGTCTATAAAATAAAAACTAATGCTGAAGAAGATATTGTACGATATAAAACAAGACTGGTCATTAAAGGATTTATCCAGAAAAAAGGGATTGACTACAGTGTTCGTCATACTCGAATCTGATACCATTTTCTTCGAGAGAAGATTGCTAAGAACGAGATAGATGTGAAATATGTTGGTACTGAGAGTATGGTTGCTGACATCCTGACAAAATCCACTTTACAGATAAAGACTCAAAAATGTTCAAGAGCTATGGGTTTGGGCTTAAAGGGAGGATGATGAAATAGTTAATCGCAAAGCAATCTGCGATGTTGTCATGTATACATTGAGTTGTTATAGAAATAAATAAATAAGTTGTTTTTGGCCAATCTTAACGACTGCGTATAATATTTTCCTAAATCTAAAAACTAGCTAATTAAAACAGTAATCCGTAAATCCAATAGCTTTGCCTCAGACTAGACATGTATGATGATGAAATTTTAAGTTTTCAATTCAAATTTAATTTTTTCACAACTTGTAAACTTTCATCTTAATAAGAGAGGAGTTATGCATGTGAACAGACTATGGTCAGCAAATTAACCCACGCAGTTCACACGGATAACGTCTCAGACAGCGATATGCTTAGCGTAGTAATTTTTACCACGTATAAATACTTTGTTCAAATTTAATTGATTTAATTATTATTACAGCGTGGCGTATTGCTGTTCTATAATTCAACGTTCTAATTATTATTATGTAATAAACGCACATAGTGTAAGTATCATTATTGATATAATTGCAAGTGTATTTCTCCAATAAAAAATTAGTTTGAAGTCTTTTTAAAAACTGGATAAAGTAACCGAACGTTTAACTCGGTTGAATAATTACTATTTTATTTATTTTCAAGCAACTTTATCATTTCTTGCATTTGAATTTAGTAATCTTGCAAGGTGAGTGTGTGTGTATTTGTATTGCATTAACTGTGGCAACCTGTGTGTGCATTAAGCTGAACTGTGGCGTACGCTTTAGTTGTGGCAACGCACATTCGGATGCCACAGCAAAAGTTGCCATAAATCGCATATAAGTCTGTTTCGTGTGTGCCGCTTTGAATATACCACGCCTACGAGGATAGTGCGCAGATTGTCTGCTACAAACAACCTCTACTGTTTAACACATGGCGGGTACATGATGTGTGTGTACTACGCCACAATTGGGGCTCAAGTTTGCATACCCTGAACCAAATTGTGGCAACATTTACGTCATAATGGAGTGGCGCACTCTAGTGTACACACACTTGGAACTATTTCATTGATAAATGACTAAATCAGAAGTTTATTAAATCTAGAACGTATCTAGTCAAAGACGTTTTAACACTCTATTTAACATTGTTTTAGTAATTTCGCATTTCTCGGAGGATATAACCCAACCTTAACACTTGACTACTTAACAATTCT